CAACAAAAAAACTGCTCTCAAGGACATTGAACAACTCTTATAAACAACTAGAATTTCAAAGTTCTTCTTCACTGTTCAGCCTCAGAGGAGAGTAGGGCCTGTAGCTACCTGTGCAAACATGGAGGCGTGTTCACGAGCGTGGCCGAAGGGGTCGATGTGCCAGGCGACGCGAGGACGACCACAAGCTCCGAAAGTCTCATTAAGGAACCTCAGGCCCATGGTCATCTGGTCAATGACGGCACTGTAGTGGGTGGTGGCCTCGTCACTCATACACCAGCCGCCGTTGACGAACTCCAGACGCCCTGGAGGAAGAATTGTCTCGTCAGGACACAATTAAACCCCTTCCAGTGCCACTGCACCTGCACAGTATTAGCACATGTACCTTCATTAACCAGCTGCTTGACTGTCTGCTGCATGCTGGAGCTCTGCTGCTTCCACCAGCGGTAGAAGAAGGCTGTCTCCACGTAGATAAACCTCCTGTCTGGATTCTTCAACAGCTGATCCACCACCGAGTCCAGGATGTACTGGACCCCAGCATGCTGGATGTCATTACGATCTACACACAGATAAACACACATAAAATGCACAGATCGAGGACGTCACTGTGTAGAAGTTCAAGAAGCAGTAAGGACTTAGTTGCTGCAGTGATAACAAAGGCTGTGTTGCAGTTTTCCAAACATATTTACCATTTGTGAACCTTTTTTTTTGGTGCAACAAGAGTGTGAAGACATTTTCATGGCAACATTGAGAAATTATTTTCAAAATGTTTTAAAATTGTAATCCCTGTGCAAACACACAGCTGAATTATATCACAAATTATTACAAGAAATGGATGAAAATGTAGATTCTCGTGCAGATATTGACTACACACTAACAAACCACCAGCAGTCCAGATGACCTCTGCTTACGTAGTCACAAACTGATCAGGAACAGGTGACGGTCACCTGCACGCCAAGGCTTAGCATAAAAAAAACATGTGATGCCGAGATGTGCAGTTCGGTCACTCAGTAGCACTAAAGCTATAAAACTGTTATGGTGTTTGCTAGTGAAGACAGAAAACACAGGGTGAGATGTATGAAGGCTAAAGAGATCATTTCCAGCATTATGTTTCTTTCACTTAATGAGAGGAATTGTTAAGCTGCAAGTCTTTATGTAACTTCTCTAAATTTTAGAATATAAGTTAAAGCTGCATTTTCTACAAAGGCTAAGAGCAAATGAGTTATTTAGGTTTTGAGAGCAAATTTAACCCAGCGTACTGCCCCCCTACAGTATTTATTAAGCATCATTTGAGATGGCTAAGTGACTATGATGTGCACCACAGCATAGCAGCAGAGTTGCTGCTTTGACTTCTGGTCGGCTGGACTTTTATTGCATGACATTCCCCTACTCTCTTCCCCGAACTTCCCCGTCTATCTTCACTGGCACCAATGAAGGCAAAGGACGATCAATATTAAGCATTACACACTAATCAACATCCACTTCTCATGAAGAATCTGACTTCCTCAAGTCGGAACATTCCCAACAAGTAGAGGCCACATCACAAATAGGCAGACAGTGTCATGACTCAGCATTTCCACCACTAAACTGCAGCGCGAGCAATAACAGTGTCAAAAACAAGGGTTCTGATTTTCCAGCGTAGTCCAGTTCTGTTAACTTGTAGAGCTGGACTTCCTGTATCACTCTTCTTCTTCTTCAGACTCGGTTTATGGTTTGAACACTGAATTATTCCAATATTACAACTTTGCATTGGTGTTCGATCGGGGCTGCAGGTGAGCTCGTGTGCTTGAGCTGCAGTAAATGGCGAAGGAGGAGACGAGGGGGGTTTAATCGATGACCAGTGAGATGCTTTAACAATCACAAAATCACTTTATGGGACCTTTAGGCAGCAGCGTTACAACACTGCTGTTGACTAAAGCTACTATCACCTGCAGTGTTATCAGGAGGGCGTCGGGCAGGAAAACAACTCTTCAATAAAGCTGATTGCATGAGATCAGCACATTACTACTACATTACTACTCTGTGTGTGTGTGTGTCTGACCTCCATAGAAGTACTGGTCCACAGTCTTGAGCCATCCAACGTCGTCATGTGTGTGAGGAACCAGGTGGACATTCAGCATGTTGGGTTTGGTGGCATGACATGACTGCACACACACACAAAATACACTGAATATGAACACATGCACCACACTGGACTACCACAGCGCTCTACTGTTAAGGAAGACACAACGTCACTATAAAAAATGATAAATATATTCAGATATAGTTCCTCTTTCAGTAACAGTACAGTACCTTCCCCGCACATACACACAGAAACTAGCAGGGCTCAAAGGCAGATGATGGAAAGTGAAAGTTGCTGTAGCAGCTTAAGCTAACTGTTTAAAACAAGCCTCCGAGCAGCACAGCTGTGAAGGCGGCTAACCTCGTATCCGCAGGTGACGGTGTCTTTGGTGTCTTTGGTGTCCTGGCCGAGAGGAAAACTTAAAACCCCGCCGAGGAGAAACAGGAGAGCAACAGCAAGCTGCAGCGACTTGGCCGCCATGTTGGAAAATAACACGCAAATCATATGACATGTGTTTATATCAGCTGCGGTCACGTGACAATAATTCCGCTGGGAGGAAACCACATGGAAGCAGAGACGGCGGCGGGGAGGCCTGGCGCCCTCAGTTCAGACTGTCAGGCACCACAGACCAGCCAACGAAGACTGTCTTTGCAGGATGATGAGCCACTCCGTAGGCAGGAACAGAAAACTGGTTTGGAAAACATTTCTTACATTCTTGAGTAATGATGTTTTCTGTTAAGTAACCTGCACTGCCATAAGTTGTCATCATCATGAGCTGTGATTAAAAGAATTCTCTCTCAATTCTAGACTTATGCACCTGGCTCCACATCGAAAACAATCTCCAGAAGAACTGCTCCTTCACAAAGATAGAAAAGGTCAGTTGCAGGAGGATGGCACAGAAAGAGTACCACTGACTGGCTTCCCTCCCAACATGACACGACATACAGTGCACGACTTGCACAATCAAGCCCCGAGAAACAGACAAGTATTGGCTTCAAGCTTGGCACAGGGAAAGGAAATCTGAAATTCTGGGACAGTGTGACAGTAACATGAATCTCTACGGATAGTGTCCAAGATAAACAAATCCTTCCTCGTTCTTAAGCACAAAAGCCCGATTAAACTTTTCTAAAGAACATGAAAAGAAGCCGGATGAATATTGGGAACACGTTCTTTAGTCAGATGAGAATAACATACATTTGATCAGTTCAGATGTGGTCCAGTATGTTTGGTTTGAACCACAGAGGCTGCATAGTCCAGAAGCACAGAGATGCGAGTGTGATGATATGAGGGCGCATGAGTACAAAAGGTGTTGGGAAGATTACATTTATAGATGATACAGTGAACGTCTGTAGATATACCAAAATACTGGCTGAGAAGATGACTCCCAGTCTGCAGACACGGAATGTCCAGCATGATAACAATCCACAGCAAAATCACAAGAAAGTGTTTAATGCAGAAAACAGTGAAAACCATGACCTGGCAAAGAATGTTGCCTGATTTGAATCCAACTGTTAACAATTAACTACCGTTCTAGAAAATGATAAAACAAAGAAGGTTAAATTTTACCCTGGTGGCATCTTCAGATCCCTACTGGCACAAAATCCAAATACACATACCCAGCAAATCCTTACATTTGAGGACACTTCAACATTTATTCATGATGACATACTTAGTAAATCATGCAAAGAGTTTTTTCACGTCAGAGATCTTTTTTAAAAACCCTGTTATTCAGGGAAATTTCACTAACTTCTCTTTTACAAGAACACCTTCACACAGTCTGGCCACAAGCTTCCATCTCCAACCTTTAGGCTACTGTTACTCATCAATCAGCAACCAACTTATGTTCCAGCACTGGTATGAAGGATGTAAATAAACTCCTAGAGCATCCCCACATCTAATGCTGGGTTATGTATTTAGTTCAAGAGACACAGGTCTTCGTATGGAGCTGGTAAGATGTCCGAGAATATTGGATTTTCCCAGAGCTGATGCATAAGTCGGTGGTTTCTTTACTAAAAGGGCCTTTGGATGATTGTCTGGTACAAATTGATCTTTCTGTTCTGTCTGCACAAGAGCTACAGCAGCACAGAGGAAACAAAAAACCAAGGCCACAGATATACTCTCCCACATACAACAACAGTTACTAGTGAGTAACTTGTCTCTGATCAGCTTTGACACCTTGGGATGCCACTATCCCCTTTCACTATGACTTCAATCCCTCAGTCGTGGCTAAAATAAGCCATAACTGTCCAGCCAGGGATAAACTATAAATGAAGTGTGTAGGGAGAAAACGAAGGAGCCTAAACTACAGTAGATTCCTGTGAAGTTGTGTATTCAGAGGAGGATGCACGAGCAGCTGAGACAGTTGGTGCTGCATCTTAAGCATCATTCAAATGCTTTGAGCAGCTGAGAAGCATTTGAGCTGCTGATTTCCAAGAAGTAAGTTGTGCGAAGTGCTGTGCCAGCCTCTATTAATAGGTCTGCATAGATTTAGCAGAAAAGTCGATTAGAGCCAGTCTTTTCACTGTGGACTGTAAATATTACAGGAGATAAAAACATGTGGAAATATATTAAGCCATATAAAAATAGCTGATGGGAGTGGATTTTACTTAAATAGAGGCTGAATTTCCATACTGCTGTTAATAGACAGACATGAGAATGGTGCACAAAAAAATCATTGTTGACAAATATGGTGAAGTATGGGAAGATATGGAAGGAGCAGAATTACGTATGTTTCCCTTGCAGGTGGACTTCTATCCACTGTGGGTGCAGATCGAGACATTTCATAAGAAGGGACATCATAAAATGAGAATTTATCGCAGAAAAACAAACTGTGCCAGGAACAAGAAGCAACTGCAATCAATCACTGGACGAACACCTCCCGAATAAATCATTTTTCACAAGTATTAATGTTCCCAGTCATAAAAAAAAAAAGGCCCCAGACTGCCAATTCAGACCTCCATGGATCACTTTATTGCGAGTCAGTGTGAAATAAAGTCATCTCTGAAAAAGCAACACTCAGACAAATACAACATATTTTACAGTCACGCGAACGAGAACAACAACAGAAGCACAGGGAAGTAAACAGGTGGACAAAATGATACAAGGATACTATAATTTACAGAGAGTTCACTTCATGTTGTAGTCGCACAGTTTGGGAAATAAATGCACTTCATGGCAAAACATAAAACGATTTCTGTCAGTCGTACACGTCGTATGGTTTCTGTTACTAATGAAGCTCTGTTTCTAACACGTGTTGTTCACAATTTGTTGTACCTGTGTGACTTTGTTGTGTCTTTGGAGTTGATATTTCTGATACATTTCCACTTTTTTAAATGGTTTGGTTTAAAGGCCTCGCACAGTGCTCGGTCATCGTAATCCTCCGGAAAAGCACCTTTTAGAAAGAAAACTTCAGCATAACGATGACATAATGCAAGAAAGGCAGTGGCTACAATGGCATCCATTCATAAGGAAGGCAAGGTCACTCTCAAATCACATTACGATTAATGCTCCAAGTGGATCCTTGTCCCTTGTCATGCTACAATCACACACAGGAGTTAAGAGTTGAAGGTGGCAGACTCGGTGGCACTTAAAATTTAACATTTAACACCCATCTCATCCAACAGACTGCAGAAAGTCCGTTTTTCCAAATCTACCTTGACTGAATGGATATGAAGTATTGATAGGACTAGATATGAGTAGATATGACTGGATATATCAATAGAATTGGATTTGGAAGCATGCAAAGTACATTTATCTGATATTTTCCTGCTCAGCGTTGCAATGGTAGTAAGTATGGTACTGTGCAAACGTTTTAGGCACTTGGATGTTTAGATTTGATCCATCGCACAGTACCGTTAGTAAAGGCATCTGATCGGTCCCAAATTCATTCTGCAGCATGACAGTGACCCCAAATATTCAGCCCAGAGTCACAAAGAACTATTTTCAGCTAAAAGAAAAACAAAGAAGTCCTGCTACAGATGGTGTGGCCCTCACAGAGCAATGGTCTCAACATCATGGAGTCAAAGAGTCAGCAAAGAAACAGAAGACACCGGAACAGACGAAAATCCACAACGAACTAGCAAAGTACCAATAACTGGCGCTGGCAATGGGTGATCACACAAAATGTTGATTGAATTCAGCTGTTCATTGCATAACTGTTGAAAGAATCCCCACATTTAACGTCTAAAACGTTAAATTAGACACCAAATTATTTCTAAGTTGTGGTGGTTTATGTAGCCTGAAACAGCATAAAGGAGCCACCAATGAAAATAATGGTGTGCATCCATTTTTTGATTTAAAATAATTTTGAAATAATGCAATTAGCAAATTGAAAATGCTGTAATTTAGGATACACAAGAATATGCAGCAGGTCTGATCCAGGAATTGAACAGTTGTGTCAATAGTTTTACAATTCATGTCGTCCTACTTGTGTGACACTTTTAATGGTATTTCTTTTTTTAAAAATACACCAAATTACAATAGCTGTCAATAAAATCAGAGCTAGATATTTTCCCCTCATTGATCAACCCTGATGTGTTTGTATTGTTAATGAACAGGCCTGTATACTGATAGATATGTTAGAAAACTGAGAATTAAGACTTGATGTGTATATAGCCTCAAAGGAGCAGTTTGACAGTTTTGGCTTGTTTGCTTTCTTGTGAGGTAAATATGAAGCCACTGCCAGCAGCGGTTAGCTTAGCTTAGCGAACAGACTGGAAACAGCAAATCTGACTCTACTCAAAGGTAACATATCCAGCTGCCAGAACCTCTAAAGCTTACTAATTCCTGTTTGACACCACAACGTTAAAACAGTAACTTCATTTTGCATCAGATCTGAACTTTCTAGTTCCCCGTTTCCAGTTTTTATGCTAAGCTAGGCTAACCGACGGCAACTTATTTACTGTACAGACATGAAAGTGGTATCAATGTTCTCACTTTGGTAAGAAAACAAATAAGCATACATCTTTTATATCCAACTACTCCTTTCACTGACGGCCTTTGACTCTAAAGGTAAACCTACAATACCAGGTACACGGTCTCATCCCCGCGTAGCAAAAAATGATGGCCTAAAAACACACAACCAACATCACCTAAAGAAAATCACTTGCTGCAAAGCTACAATATGGCATTTCATTTGTCTGAATTTTAAAGCTGAGGTCACTTTTGCAGGTTTATTATGAAAACTGTGTGAGGTTTCCCATGTCACATCACGTCAGATAAGGAAGAAAAAGAAATTCCCCTCATTCCTATAAATGTACAGCTATATTTAGCACAAAGAAAACAGTGTAAATACTGATTAGTGTCTTTGTATTGTTGATTCAGACTGAAGAAATATGTGGGAAACATTGACCCACACACACCCTTTCTGGTCGAGCCAAGTCAACTTATCCAGCACAAATCAGAAACCTGTCTCAGGGAGCTTTACGATCTCGAGCCCCTCTGTCCTGAGACTCGGCATTCTCATTTCTTCGCTGAGTGACTCTGTTGAATGGGCCTTTTTCACAGTAGACAGTTTGACATGGCACAGATGGAAAAGCACGGGTATAAATATGTAAATAACAATAATAAGATATTGCATATTGATATTATGCATGATGGCTCTTTGTCACACTTGCTGGGACATGTGCAGAACTGAGCCAGAGCTCATGTTGGTAACACCAGTGCTTTCTCCTGTGACGACGAGTCATAATGTACACTGTGAAAAATACAAAGTGTTAAAAATTCAGCTGCAGTGTTCTCTGTACAGCTCCGCCTGACGGTGATCCAAAAGAGTATTTTACAATCAAAGGAAAGACACATACACTCACAGAAGAAGAGACTAAACAGAAAGACAAGTGTTTGATTCCTGACTGTGATGTTTCGTCCTGATGTTGTTCTGCACAATCAGCCTCCTCAGTCATATTTTTAGAGCTCGTATCCACTATCAGAGAGAACAGCCCTTTCCTGCAGCAGATAACTGAAGAACCCTGGATGAGGAGGGGGGCATACTTAGGTTGGATTTCCATTGGCTCCTTCATGGGGGCAGATGAGCAGGGTGGAGTCCAGGTCCAGACGGAAGGCCGGGTACAGTGGCTGAGAGAACGGGCAACGGAAAGTGTGCAGGAGCAGCATCGTGTCTGACACGCTGTAGAAGGACAACGCTCCTTTCTGGCGCTCCAGGAACACACCGATCCTGGGGCAGGGCGGGGCAGCCACCGTGGTCTTACGGTTATCATGCCATGCGGCATATCCAGCATGTGTACACCTCAGCCGCCAGGAGTTCTCGTTGCGCCCCAGCAGGCAGGGCTTTCCGCCACCTTTGCGGCCGATGCCTCGGTAGGTGACGCCGATGTCGACCCATCCTCCGCCCCTCCACTCCACCTCCCAGTAGCTGGCACCACCAAACTGGCCCTCCCTGCACAGGACTTGTGCCACTGAATCAAAGCGCTGGGGATGAGTGGGGTAGGACTGTGGCTCCTCACCACAATGGGCACCTTGGGGACCCTCCAGGAGAACCAGTGTGGGGTGGGCTGTATCGGGGTCCAAGGACAGACGACATGAAACTGGAGGAAACAGAGAGAGAAAAAAAAGGGACAGTTTAAGAGGCAGGAATTAGCTTTTTACAGCCCCAAACAAAACATTCTGCGAGACACTGATGGAGTTGATTTGTAGTATGGGAGTTCCCCGAAGTTCAGAGTGCAGCAGCCAGACTGGATCGTAGCCACGTCCCAGGAGGGAAGTCTGTTTTGAGCAGGCAGCTGTTTAGCTGGCAACCGGCTCCAGGGCAACAACATGCTATGTTTGTAGTGATCAGTTGTTTGATTGATTTATTGTGTGAACCGAAAGTTAGTTGGGGTCAACTTTGATAAGCAGTTCATTTTTATCCTTAAGCAAACCAAAGAAAAAACAAGAAAATCGTGATTTTGTGACCTGACGAATCCTTCACAACCAAATATTCGCTGCTCCGTACATCCCAAATATTAAAATTTGCTGCTTTTTACAGTTACTTTCATTGTTATTGTGAATTACATATCTAGGCTGCTGTGAAAGAAACTATTTGAAGACGTAGCCTTGGGCTCTGGGAATTTGTAAATACTACTTTTAAATACTTTGACCAAATGCATGCAAATCTCCAAAGTGTTTTATGTTTAATGCTAATTGGAAATGTTGCATAACCACGGTAAACATTACACCTGCATTACATCAGCATGGTAGCATTCTGATGTTTGCTTTAGGCTCAAATAACTGCTGTGCCTAATTGCAGCCTCACATAAGTGCTGGTGTAGCTGCAGTCTCTGTTGCCTCTGTCCTCCACCACAATGGATTTGAAATGAAGACGCCAAGATGTTATTAAAGTTCACCGGAACTATTTACGGTCGTGCCGATGTCAGTAAAGGAGGCCATCACTAGGCTGAAAAAAAAACCCAAAACAGACCCCTCAGAGGGATGGTAGAAACTTTACTAGTGGCCGAATCAACAACTTAAAACATTCCTCAAAAGAAGGAATCGACTGGTGAGCTCAGCAACAACAAACCGTGTGGAAGACAACTAAAATGGATGATTGTAAAATGATTTCCTTGGTGAAGATAAACCCTTTCACAACATCTAGCCAGGCCAAGAACACTCTCAAGGAGGTTAGTGTATCACTGTCCACAATCGTAAGACACTTCATGAATGTAAATACAGATGGTTTACATCAAGACACCAACCAGTGGAAACAGAATGGACACGTTGGACTTTACTGGAAGACACGTTACGGTTCTGGAACAAAATTCCAAATGAGACCAAGATGAAATCAAAACAGAATGATGGGAAGATGTGAGTATGACGACGGAAAAAAAGAGCTCATGATCCAAAGCAGACCACATCATCTGTTAAACATGGAGGAGGCAGTATTATGGTATGGGTATATGTATGTCCCAATGGAACTGGCTCACTGTTGTTTATTGAAGAAGCGACTGCTGATAGAACCCATAGGAGGAGGAGCTTTACCTACTGTGGATGGATAATGACCCAAAACATGCTGCAAAGCTACCCAAGATCTTCTTAAGACCAAGAAATGGAATGGTCTTAAGTGGGCGAGTCATTGCGCTGACTGACTTGAACCCAACTTAGTTGCTTTTTACTTGTTGAAGACAGAAAGAGATGAATAAGCAGCAACTGAAAACAGCTGCAGTAAGGACCTCGCTGAAAATCTCAAGGGACGAGATTTTAAAAAAGATGTGGAATCACTTTTTTTCCTTATGGTGTCCCAGAATCAGCTGAAAATTAAACCGGCTCGTCCCTGCTCTGCCACTTTGTCGGGTATTTCAGTTTTTCTCAAGTTTCAGAGTGGAGTGGGACACAGACTGACCAGCAGATGTAAAGACATTCAGTGATTCAGTTGACATTTTGGCAGAGAGGAGACAACTGACACATACAGCCTTTATCCCCCTCCGACCACATGAATTATTAACACCTAACAAGGTGCTGGTGCGCTGTCATCCTGTCAGCTGGCTTCTTTGTGTCGAGACAAGGCCCCGTTCTTAATGACGGACCAGGATGTCATAAATACAGTATGATTGTCGTGCATCATGGATGAGGCTCTAGACCGGGCTCTCGGATTTCCCCAGCAAGATTCTCATTATACGTCAAACTAGAAGCAAGAAGAGAAGACAGAGAAAAGGTTGAGGAGGAAAGAGGGTCAAAGAAGAGAGAGGACACTGAGAGAGAGCAGCATGGCCAATGACATGCAGGACGGTCACAGTAAATGGGTGCACCAGAGAGTGAGAGGAAGCGATGCAGAGAGAAGGAAAATTAAATTAACTGGTAGAGAGTGGAAGAAGCTGAGGAGACGAAGGGCAGGCTACACACGGAGAAGCTTCTGGAAGGAATACTTATGAGGCAAACTTGTTGGAAGAAGGATGAAGTACTTACACCTGAGAAAAGCCGCCCTCATCCTCTGATCAGCCAGTTGCAGAGACAAGGAGGACAGAGGGAACGACACTGGCACTGCTGTAAAGGGACAAATGAAAAAGAGAGAAGGTGCTGCTGAAAAAAAATGTCCGCACTACGAAAAAATGCTTTATTTTCATCAAGTGAAGGGAAGTGAAGTGAGCGTTAGAGAGGAAAGGACAGAGGCAAAAAGATAAATGAGTAAAGCGTGAAACACTGGGGAGGAGCTGCAACATAGTTAAAAGAGAATTTAAAAGAATGGGAGAGTTTTTAATGCACCATAAAACTTTACAAATACATTAGAGCTTTTAACTGGATGTTCTGAACCAGTGACTAGCCGACCAGCTGCCATGGAGTGCCAGTAGTCTATGTAAGTCCAACAGCAGGTTTTTATCCCCCTTTGCATGCACAAAAGAAACCAGGTTACTGGAAGGAAGGCCATGGGAAACACCACACATGCACTTTAGTAGATTAGTGTAAAATTGCTGTTTTCATGCTGTTAGACATCAGTGTTAGTGAACGTAGCAGACAGACACAGATAGAGACAACTGGGAACTTCAAATAAATCTTTTACCCAGGAATTTAGCACCTTAATGTTAATTCTAGATCGTATAAAAGTGTTCATACTTAAGCCACTACGTGTAGAGGGAGACTTGGTGACACACAGTAAACAACAGATGCAATATCGCTTTTCATGTCAAATGCTTCAAAACTGTAACTTTACAGGGATTACATTACTTCTAAGTTGAACAATAGAGTATTTGTCTTATGTCGAATTGAAAATGAACAGTTCAGTTTACTTTATCCAAAAAACAGGCCCCGCAGTAGGAAATCAATGCAACAAAAGTCAATGTGTTATTGAGACTCAAGTGGGTTGGATTCATGTTTCCATTTTTTTTTTCCACTGTAGAAATTCTTTTGTGTTTTTGGCACCTTTTGCAGACACGGAGATAGACACAGGCCAGGCTGATTCAGTTTTGTTCAATAAACAGTGATCACAGATCTACTGACGTTTGTTGTATTGGGTTACTTCTGAGGCACCTGTATTTTCAATAGTTTTTCCAAATTATTTGTTTTTGCAGTTTATAATAAGAAACACTCAACTTAGAAATGATGCAAATACTGAGGAGGCGAGACACTTTGGAATCATTTGACAATGATGTGATATTGCACATTGTTTACTCTGTTGTGCTTGTAGAACTGGAGCTGTAGTTGACAGTTACGCTAGTGGTTCTGTAAGGCTGTACTTAAGTATAGGAATTTCATGACTATCTATGCAGCAATAGTCAAGACATTTCATTAGGAACCACGAATGGCATTCTTAAAGTCATCTGCACACATCCTCAGTTCCCCAACTCGGACCGTTGTTGTCTGTGACAGTGAAATTCTTGCTGCAAATGACCAGATGGCAGCAAAATTAAGGAAATTTAAAATCTTACACATAGTGGCTTCAGTGCTAATAATGCTAAATGTGCCTTTTGGTGAGCTACTGAGGTGACAAAATCAAAATCAACTGTTAGGGAAAATACACCAACAATTACCAATCCCTGTTTTTTTTTTCCACTTACCCCTATTGGTATGTTGCCCTGCGGATAGTGTTGGTTGCGGAGGTTTGGAATTCTCCACACTTTGGCCACCTCCCCAATACAATAGATATGAATGATATTTAATATATGTATTTTTAAAACAATAATGAACACCAATAACATCGCAAAAATCTATTTGCCATTTAGCCAGAAGGTTCCAAATACTGGATCTGGAACTGGAGGCTTTTCAGATGTTGTTATTTTACACTTTGCGAACAAATAATACATTTAATACATTTACATATGTCTTTTCTCAACACTTTAGCCAAAGCCAAAAACATCAGCCTCATAGTGACACCAAATCAAAAGTCAATGGAGCACCACCGTTGTCTGGATCTGGATCTGTTCATGCTACGGGGACCATGTGTAACTTCCACGGCAATCCATCCAATAGTTGTTGAAATATTTAAGTCTGAACCAAAGTTGAGGACCAATGAATCAACATTGCAATCTCTAAATAGAGCTGCAATGAGCAATCGATTAACCGAATAGATGTTGACTAAAAGTAAAGGCATTGACTGATAATTGATTTATCAATTTGTGTAATCTCTTAGATTGAAAAAGTCAACATTGATTCCATCTTTTTATATTTCAGTTTTTTTCTGGTCCTCTCCTAATCTATGACAATAAACTGAATATATTTGGTTTGTGGGATAAAACAAGACAGTTGAGGACGTTGATGTTGGGCTTTTGGAAACCCTGATTCAAAATTTTCACCATTTTCTGAGACCAGACAACTAATTGCTCAATCGAGAAAATAATCAACCGATTGCTCAACAGTGAAACTAATAATACAATGTGCCACACAGCTAGCACCTCTCCTAATTAGACCCTGTGGCTGTCACTGAAAAGCCGGCATAAAACTAAAGTGATTCGCACCGAGTTTGATTGCTTCCAATTAAACTAAACTGAACAGATTAGGACGCAGCAGAACTGGAGACGAGCCAGAGCGTGTTGTATCACACATCGGCCTGTCCTCCTCAGCATCAATTATTAACGCCCCCACTGTCCGCCGCAGTGTTAAATGTCATGTCAAAACCTGCAGCCTGGTAAAAATGGGTCACCTCAGACCTGACTCTGTCACAGAGGGTGTGTGTGCGTGTGTGTATCGTGTTTCTTATGCTTACCTTTTACACACTCTGCACCAGCTACGTAGTTCTCGTTAACTGGAAGAGAAGCATAATTATAGTGTGAAACTGAGCTAACCTGTGTGAGGGGGGATGTATTTTGAACACATAAATCTACTTTAACTAGTCTGCAACAGTCATGGTCTATGCTCAGACTTGGAAATTCACTCTGTGAGAGAGCGATTAAATGGTCGTGTTTAGCGCCCGTCCTCCTGACTGCAGGTCATCTGGTGTACCTGCGCGGCTGATCTTGTCGACCTCCTCCCTGCAGACCTCCTCCATGTGGCTGCGGAGGTGACATAGTGCTCTTCTGGCGCCGCTGAAGGCCTCTGTGGGCAGGCTCTGGGCTCTGGAGTGCCGACCAGTGGTGAGCGGGACGCAGAGCAGGGGAGCCGCCTGAGCCGACAAAGACAAGAGAGTGGAAAATACAACCCAGCACAGCAGCTTCCGCCCTCCCCTCCCTCCTTAATTCCTTGTACAATTGAATTTGAAAATAGCGCTTAGGCAGACGCTGTCTTTTTCCACGAGTCACTGCTGACTCATTCCCTCCTTTCATCCACTCTTCCTCCTCCATCCCTCGTCTACACACTGATATCTCTGGGTCTTTCTGAGTTTGCCCTCTGGAGAGTTCTTATGGCCTCCAGGATGCATTAACCCTAATGGGTGAATATCAAATGGAGGAGTTGCTAATGTGTTGCTTGTCTTGAGAGCAAACGTCTAATAGAGGCTCCAAGTGTCTGTTTAAGTAGAACTTCAACCATTAGCTGATTTATTTGATTAGCCAACGTAATGACAATCAATCTGCAATGATTAGGGTTTTTTTAGAAGTTGTGTTAATCATTGGAAAATTTGAGGAATGCTGACAGTCCAAAGCTCTCAAAGGTCAGAAACTGCTCATTTGTTTTGGTTTTGCATTGCAGCAAGTTTAACTTTTGTACAGATACTCACATAAAACAATGACCTCACATTCTCCCAGTCCACCTCAACCAAATGACTAATGGAACAAGTAATAATTGAAAAAAAATCTACTTTTAAGAAGTGCAAAGCAGTTTTAAACAAGTTTAAAAAAACAAAACAAAAAAAAAACAACTTTTTAACACATTTTTAAATGTTTATGTATATATTTAAAATGTTTATAGATTTATATACTGGATCACACATCATGAGGCAAACAAGCAATAAATGCCATGGCTAACTGTTTCCTCCCTGAAACTGCAAAATGGTAAATGATCTGCACTTATATAGCGCTTTTCTACCGTAGCGGTACTCAAAGCGCTTTACAATGTTTTTAAAAGCATGGGCTCAGACATCCCAGGGTTCAACAAACCAACTAACCAATCCTGTCAACCTGCTGGGTGGGGCTTTTGGTTCAATATTCTTTTTCAGAATTGGTTTCTGGTTCTTACATGTTTGACTAAATTACTCCAATATTACAGCTTGCCATTGCATAGACTATAGTAGTTATACAGTGTTTGAGCAGCGTTGCAGGTAAGCTGGTGTGCTCCAGCTGCAGCAAAGTGGGGAGAGGTGATCACCAGAGTCAAAAATATTGAGGACCCCTCACTTGTATGGTTGACGCATCCTTCTTGTGTTGTCATTTGTACTTCCTGAGGTTTTACATTTTTTAACCGACTAGTGCTGGTGTTCTATTTGAACTTCAAACCCCACAATCTTCCCTCTTCTTCCTCCTCACCTGTAAGAAATGGGCGTTGTCCTCAGACTGCAGCAGCTGGCTGATCTCCTCGTCCCTCCTCCTCAGCTCCTCCAGGTCCTTCTCCAGCACCTCTATGTCTCGTTCGGCTCTCCCCACCACCGCTCGCTCCTTCGCTTCTAGCCTCGCTCGAACCTACGACACAATTAGAAGATCTAACAAAAAAGTCCTGAACACAAGAATGTGAAGGAGGGAAAGACATAACAGTGTAAGCGGAGATTGTGCAGACTGCATGTGCACGCTGGATTCTCATGTAGTTTTTTGCATATGATGATCAAATTGTCACTTTTAACCAAGATATAATGATTTTGTTAGCACTGGGCTACTCCAAATATTGATAACATTACATCTAAGCACTTCTGGCTCCTGCCTCTCACCTCTGCCTTGGTTTTCTCCAGGCGGAGAGTCATGTCAGCAAACAGAGCTTCACTGTCCTCCAGAACAGCCGACGCTGACACCTGCAACACACAGACAGAGAGTAAACACTTAAAGACACAGCAGAGCAGAGAAGGAAATCATCTGGAAAAACGTCACTTTGTAAGAAGCGGTAGATCTGTCATAGCAACCTTATTTGATCAACTCTTTGTGTTCACTTTATAATGAACCCTGACTGTACACCCTGATGTCCCACTGTTATGTCATTGTTCTATAGGAATCACTGTATGTTACATAAAGTGAATGAAGTTGTCATTTCATGGGGACTTAACTTGTCAGATTTAGCTCCATCCAATCATACATCGTGTGCTATTATACACATGATTACATGAGTAACACAAAAACATTACATTCAGTGTTCGCACAAGCAGACAGACGGAGCTTCGCTGAGATTTTGAAGCACAATGACATTTTGTTCCAACGCTCCACATCCACTGTCATGAAAACAATTACGATGGCCCAGAACATGCTGCCAATTGATATTTTTAGCAGAAGATTTTGCAGCTTCCAATCCAGATTCACACAGTCAGGGATGAACCTCCGCAGTAGCACGACGAGACGACAAAAATCTCAGTCTAATGGTTCAGTGAGCTGATAAGAGTGATTTTCCAAGACGCTCGAGCAACCGCAGGCTGGGTGGAAGAAGATAATGCTCAAGGGAGGGAGGAGGAAAGGCTTTCCTGGAAAACCTAAGGAGTGGCTGAGAAACTAGAGCATAAATTAGTTTTGCATTGGAAACTGATAGGATAGCTCCTCCGAGGCAGGATGTGTGTGTGTGTAAGAGGAAAGTGTGAGAGCTTTGTGTCTCATACTTTACTTAACGAACCTACAACTTTATTCTGATAACTTGATTTAAATACTGAAGTCTTTGTCTGTCTCTTACAAGAAGTCCTCTAAGTATAGTGTCCAATTTAGTGCCGTCTACAGATTACATTTTTTTTAACAGAATGCCCGAAAAATATTACATCTTGAATGTTTTAAAACCTGAAATTAAAAAAACAAAGCTAAATTAAAACTATTGGTGCTGATTCTTAAAAACAACAAAGTGGACTCTGGCCAAACAGTCTCATCATTGACAAAAAAAGCTGATCTTTACTTTTGTCTGGACAACAGAAAATCCAATAAGCAGGCTGCAGCACATACAGAGTGCAGAGGTCCAACAAAAACACGACACAGTTAGCACACAAACACTTCAGACCCTCAGCGTCAGCATCTTTACATCGGCGCCCTGTCTCCGTCTGAAGAGACTGATTGAGTCTTAATGGTTTACCACCTCCGTGCTCAGTCTCCTGCTGCTGCTGCCTGAACACTTAACACGGCTAAACGTATTACCAGTTAAGACAAAGAGTTATGGACACGTTGCCTTCTTATATAATTTAATCTTACTATAAATGTCTACCATGCAACTTCCATTCAAAATCTTAATCTGTTTTTTATTGCAACTTTTAATATGACTTTATTTAACTTGATATAAAACACTTATGTAAGTGTTTTATATGACGCGTGACACCATGACACGTATGAAGGATTCCAGAAAAGAATTATTGTCAATATTAGAAATCTAATTTATTCACAGACCAACATTATTGGTGTGACTATGAAAGGTTTGCATCTGATTTTGTTTTAGAGGTCAGACGTCCAGAAGGTGATAAGAAAACAACACACAACGCTCTCTACAGCAGTTAACATGACAACAAAGAGGGAAATTAGCCACCTTAAAACCACATTTATCTGAGATAAGCTTCCTGTGAATTCCTTGATCAGTATAAAATGACTTTCAAAACAGAAAATGTTACACTTCATAATGTTTTATTCATGTCGTGAGCAGTGAGCCGGGTCTGGATGGACCTGCTGTTCGGTCTGGATGCAGACTGAGGTCAGGACTTTGGGAAGCCTTGGACTATATGCCACATCACACAAGCACAATCATAATAAAGTCAGATAGACAGATGCATGTTTCTAGTTTTGTTCCTTCTTTAGGAGAAGCTGGGATGATGCCACTGGATAACAACAGCTAATATTCCAGGTAAAGGTGATTTAACAGTGGAACTCTCAGCTTTATGTCAATAATGAGTTGGTTCTCTGATGGTCCAACGATGATGTTCAGATAAACAGTGGACTAACTAAGAGTCTGACGCTGTGTGTGTGTGTGTGTGTGTGTGTGTGTGTGTGTCACCTTGAGAGACTCCAAGCTTTGTTGAAACTCCTCCAGCTCTCTCTCTCCGGTCCGTATCCTCCCCTGGACCATCTTCTGAGACTCCTGGAGCTGGAGCTGACGGATGGACAGACAGATATTTGGGATTAGTGCTTTTACTACATTTTCTCAAATGAATGCGATTGTGGTTAACAGTGCAAGAACAAAAAATAGTACTTTAAGCACCGTCTAGAATTAAAGCTTTGACTTGCCTGAAGCATGACTGCTTTTATGTGACACCATCCGTGACACCAATAAGGCAATAAGATATTTTATTTATTTAGATTAGTGGGACAACAGGCCCAGGCTTCTGGCCTTTCGGGTTGTGATTACACAATTTTTCAAGTATTTTTGCTTCAGTCCAGTGGTTTTGGTGTTTAGACCCTTGAGACATTTGTAAGCTGTCGGGCTTGTAAACAAAAGTCAACCCTCAATAACTGCAGTGAACTTTCTGTGAACCAAATCTGATACAAGTTTTAGTCCAGCACTGACCTTTATTTGCCTATAAAAAATAAAATAAAATAAGACTGTAAATTCTAACTCATGAACCAAATCATGTTTATTTTCTTGCAGGAGGACAGAGGACTGTCTATGTCTGGAGTTTGACAGCCTCTCCCCTCATACAAAACCCACACCAGGGTCAGATTTTGGATTCCTTCCCCCCAGAGACACCAAGAAACTCCTAACTTTACCACATCCAACCTGTCCCTGTACCTGTCTCCTGGCTCTCTGCGCGTCCATATTGTGCACTTCTTCCTGATCAGCTTCGCACAGCAGGCAGTCTCCGCTCCACTCCACCGCGGCCTCCGCCTCCGAGCCGCTCCCCGCCGGCTCCAGCCCGAGCCGGTGCTGCGCGCACAGCCGCTCCGCCAGACACTCCACCGCCGCCACCAGCTTGTGCCGCCGCAGAGTGCCGACCTCCCGGTGCGGCAGGACGTGGACCTCGCAGAAGGACGCCAGACACACCAGGCACGACTTCTCCGCCCTCAGCTTGCTCTCCGCCGGGCAGAAGTCGCACGGCACTTCCCCGACTCCCCCCAAGTAGAGCTCCGGCGCAGCGACCATCTCGCTCAGCTTGAGTTTGTCGACGACCTCGGCGAGCACCGTGTTCCTCCGCAGCACCGGCCGAGGGCTGAACGTCTCCCGGCACTGAGGGCAGCTGAACTGGCCCGACTCCGCTTGGTCCCAGTAGTCGTTGATGCACGCCATGCAGTAGGTGTGTCCGCAGGGGATGGACACCGGGTCTTTGAGGATGTCCAGGCAGATGGGACACCTGAACTGGCTCTCCGTCACCGAGATATTCGCCTGAGCCATCTCGGCGCTGGGATCGTCCGCTGTCCTCGGATGGCTTCTGATGCGCCTGTTGCCTCCGCTCCTGTTGATAAGAAGCTATTCCTGACTCCAGTGTTGTTGTGAAGGGGAGGGCTGAGGAGGATACAGGAATAGCCCTTCCGCAATGTCATACAGCCCATCATGGTCCGTGGCGAGTGCCGCCCTCCGTGCTGTCTGGCAGGCGTGAAGGCGCTCTAAAGGAGCAGTTCGGCTAAAAAAAAACCCAACAACACATTTTCTCTCTTATTAGTGATCTGACTGCAGACAGACACAGACTGAAGAGATACTACTTCCCTGTTATATCTTTTATAGTAGTTGATGTGTCTCAATCTGTGGAGTGAAATCATGGGACAAATTAGATAATCATATTAATCAGTTCATCTCTGTCTCAGCCTAATGAGCAGTAACCACATGCTCTGTTTTCTTTTTGTTGGCATGAATTTATTTTGAATGTCTCTTATTTTTGATTGCTAGTTTGTGGTCACTAAATCTATCTTTGACAACAGAAAGGTTTTCTGCTGATTCATAATTTCTTGTTTGTGCAGATAAAATCCTAATTAACTTTAGATTTCTTGATATTGCTTTAGTGTTTGGTTTGGTGTTTGAAAAGCAGCGCTGTTGTGAGACAGGCTTAGCTCTTGGGGTTGGAGGCTGGATTTAACATAAATTATAATCAATACATAAGTATTTAAAAGTATTATCAGCCCAATCCTGCTCTACATGTACTTGGTAATGTTTTTCTGTGTATCCCCAGAATTCTGGCCGTATAGATTCTGCTGTGTGCTTGTCTCAGTGGGTACAGCTATTATCTATCTCATGTTCACTGTGCCAGGCTCTGCAGTTTGTGATTATGGTGATACTCAGTGTTCAGAATAGGGCTGACATTGACATCTAGTGGCAACGTGCTGTAACTCTCCCTGATGTATGGAAGGACAACAACCACACAGCTTCATAACACAGTGTTGATATAACTGACACAAATCAAATACCTCCTTTAAATTCACATTAAATCAACTTTTTTTCTTCTTTTCTTGCAGCATCAGTCCAGTGCAGATGGATACAGATGTTTTGCTACTGATCAGTCTCATATTAGTGTCAGAAAACACTCATAACACAACATAAAAGCATCGTGGAGCAATTAAATATGCTCTTTGGTTTGTTTTGTCTCTTTGGGTCCAGCACAGAGAGGACACAGACAGTTTACAGCGACCTCTGCTGACCAGTTGCTAGAGAACAGTCGCATCACCTTTCAGATATGCACTCACATGAGCAGGACAGTAAACCTGCAATAAGTGTGAGCCACATTTTAATCCATAATTACCACCAAAACAATAAAAGATACTCATGTTAATACATGCATGACATTTTGATTATGCACGCCTATTATTTTGAACCACAAATCCAATATAAAGGCTTTAACTCAATAATGATTTTACCAGTGATTTATTTTTAACTATCTGGCTAAGAGCTGTTAGATCCAGTGTCAACAAATGAAATAAACATATTCAACATGTTGTAATAGGTTCTTGTTTAGGCTGCACTGGTTAAAGTTGATGCCTTAATGATACTGAAGTGACCCACTGATGAACATTCCTACTCATAAACTCTCTGCAGTGCTTTTTTAAAAACGAATATTCTACTTTGTCGGTTTTTACAAGCTCTATTTTTGTGCTGTATCATGATAGCTGCACCCTAAGATTGGATTAACCAGGAGCAAAGCAATCTGGTTTAGAAGAACGCCTTTCATGTTGAAATGTGTTATCGTTTCTAACGTCTTGCGATTTGAACCTCCCCAACTTGCAGAAGTTGAAACATTTTTCACAGTTGCCATCTCTGATGCGTTCTGTCACTCTGCACTGGGTCTGCGAATTGAATTTCAGCAGCAGTTCGGCAGGAGATTGAAGGTTAAGAGGGGGATTTTCAGGTACTTAAGCTTTGCTCTGACTGAGCCATATCACACACACACACACACACACACACACACACACCCACACACACACACGCAGGTCATTTTACCTGCCGGTGGAGTTAAGTGGTTTCCTCTTTGGGGTTTAGTTTGTCACTGGGACCCAAGATTAGTGCTCCATGTCTCCTTAAATGCACTGATACAGGATGATTTCTAGCGAGTAAAATGAGAGGACGTTCTGTCCCAGCATGCCCTGCTTTTCCATTTGCTGGAAAAATGACGTGCAGGCAGCTCCACAGAAATTTCCCAAATTTTTTTTGTGAAGATGTGTCAGCAGCTAAACTTCCATTAAAATGTTGTTGAACAAAAATTGGTTCAATCTGAAACAAAATGTGCATTTTCAAGCATTTTTTCCAAGTTTTGATGTTAAATTAATGCAGAGACTTAGTTCCATTATGGTTACACACTGTTTTCCCAAGTTCGCAGCTCTTGATCTTATGACTTCCTCACTTGTGTATCAGTGATGTTTCTCCAATCCCAGTTCTTGAGTGCGGTCCAAGTCCCCGTCTGACTCAGAGCTCAGAGAGGCAGACAGACAAAGCCCTGAAAGGGGGTCTGGTCCCTCGACTCTCCTGGCCCTTTGTTCAAAGTGGGGCCGGGATGTACTCGCTGTTTTAGAAAGAGGACTTTTCAGCTAGGCCGTAAGGCGATCCTGGGCCTTTCCTGGCCAGGGTGTGCCCTGGGCGTCTCTGGTTTACCTGCGGGACCAGGAGGGGTGGGGTGGGGTGGGCTGGTGCTCGCTGGGCTAGGAGGGGGGAGCAGTGGGGAAGAGGAAAGCAGCTGGTCAGTAGGAGAGGGAGAGGGAGAGGGAGGCTGAGGGAGGAGGGGGGGAAATGGAGGGATGGATGTAAGGTGAGAACGCTGAGAAAGGACAAATAAACAAAGGTGGCGATGAGGGTCTGAGGTGAATTAATTGTATCAAGCTCTTTCTCTCTTTGGTGAAGGTCTCCAGAGACAGCAGCACAGGGAACAGTAGACAGTAGATGCAGCACTGGGCTCCGACCAGCTTAGAGAGACCTACAGCTTCTTTATTTTTTTTTTAAAAGAACATATTTCACGGTTCCTCCCTGAAGGTTCAAGTCTAATGTAAAGTTTATGGTTTAATTTTACTTCAGCTCTGCTTCAGGCAAACTCAGATGATGTCATGTCAGGATGATGTTAATACGTTCCCAGAGAAGATCAAATTAAATTTGACTGAACAGATTTGCTCAGAATGATCAGCCATTAAGACATTAGAGTAGATTAGATTAGACATAAATGAGCAGGTGTCTAGAGAGATATGAAGGGGGAATGTAAATCTTTTGAGACATGTCATTTGTGGCATGTGAACTGGACTTCCTTTGCACTATACAGCACCATCAGTCCATCTTTGTTCACTTTTTATCAACTGTAAGAACTTACAATGTTCTGTCTTCTGTGTTCACTTTGGTCCCAGCAGAAATATCTAAACAACTTCTGATGGATTGCCAGGAAATTTTCATTCATGGTCCCCTGACGATGAATCTGGATGATTTTTATGATTTCCCGGCATTTCTTTTAGTGCCATCAGTCGGTGTTCTTTTGCATTTACAGTAGCTTTAGAAAGTACTCAGAACCCTTCATGTCTTTATTTTTTTGTATTGCCATTTGTGTCTATCAAGCTACCCCCAGTAACCCATCTACACACATTCTACACATCCCAATAATAATTTAGAATGGGCAACAATGGCAGCTGCATCAATATAAAACTACAACGATGCAAAGCAGGCAAACAGTAAAGAGAAGTGAACACTTCCTAAAGCCACCACACACAGTGAACTACAGACAGGTGCCAAATGAAAGGAAATGCACCGTCAACTGTTTTTGGCCACTATGTGCCGCCAGAACAGCTGCAGCCCTCTTTGGCACCGACTCTCAAAGTCTCTCGACTCCACTGAAGGGATAAAACAGCATTTTTCTAAATGATAGCCCCACAGTTGGTGTTTTGATGATGACTGTGAGGCGCGCTGGCTAACAATTTGGATTAAAATTTCCCTTTGGTGTTTGATTAGGTTGTGATCTGGTGACTGGGAAAAACACCCCGACAACATGATGCAGCCACCCCCGTGTTTCACAGCTGGGATGGTGTTCTCAGGCTTCAAGCTTCCTCCTTTTTCCTCCAAATGTAACGATGGTCATTAAGAACAAACAGTTCAGGTTTAGTTCCATCAGGCCACAGGACATGTTTCCAAACATGAAGGTCTTTGTCCCTGTGTGCATTTGCAAACTGTAATCTGTCTTTTTTATGCGGCTTTTGGAGTAACGTCTTCTTCCTCTCTGAGTATCCTTTCAGTCCATGTCGGTACAGGACCGGCTACACTGTGGATAATGACTCTCTGACCAGCTTCAGCAGCATCTTCACAAGGTCTTCTGCTTTTGTTCTGTGGTTGATACACATATTTTGTAGCAAAACACTTCATCTCTGGGACACAGAACCGTCTCCTTCCTGAGCACTATGATGGCTGGACATTCCCATGGTGTTTATACTTGTGCATATAATTGTTTGAACAGATGAACCTTCAGGCATCTGGAAGTTGTACCCAAGAATGAACCAGACTTGTGGAGGTCCACAATTCTCTTCCTGATATCTTGGCTGATTTCTTTAGGTTTTCCATGTTGTCACAAAAGGAAGCAGTGTGTTTGAGGTGTGCCTTAAAATACATCCACAGGTTTGCCTCCAATTAACTCAGATGTTGTCAGTTAACCAATCAAAAGCTTCCAAAGCCATGACATCATCATCTGGGCTTTCCCACATAGTTAGAAGGCATCTTAGTGTATGTAAACTTCTGATTTTGAAGAAAGTAATGAAAAATTCTCTAAAAAGTCTCTCATTATTCTGGCATTCAAATAGAAACAATTTTGGTAATTCTAACTGACCTAAAACAGGAGAAGTTTAGTCACATTTAATGTCAGAGAGTGAGAAAAAAGAGGTTATATGTCTTTTTATACAGTGTATGTAAACTTCTGGTTTCAGCTGTATTCAAATTCAGTGTTAAACCGTCGTACTGTGCTTCTCTTTTTACTTATGACACTTCTATAATGAAGCACAATGTCAAATTTAACACCTTTTTTTTCCTTTTTCAGTTCATTCAGATTGCATTTATTGTAAACTCACATCCAGCCAGCTGTTCATGCAAAGGAAAACTGAGCATAATTAGATTATTATTTCACTTCTCAAAATCTTCCCATGGCTCCCAACTTCACATCAATCTCAAAACAGTTGTGAAACTTGCAGAGCACCAGACATAAGAGTGAGTCTACTGTCAGTTTAAGTCCTGACAGACAGTTTCCTTTCAAAATGAGATGGCCACCATTAGGAAAAACAAACATGAAGCTAAAGTTATGAGTCATCCTTGGTGTTTGACTTTCAAAATAGCTCTGTTTTTGAGAACATTATCTGCTTAAAATATTTACCGGTTAATTTCAGGAAGCGTTTTTGTTGCATAACAGAAGATGAAACTTTAACGATCCCCCAAATAAAGAAACCTGTACTTTTGCTTTGGATTGAAACCCTCCAATTGCAAAAGTCCTAATTTTAAAACTTCATATATAGCAGTTTTGCAGTGTTTTTGGATGCAGCCTAACCTTCAGAAAGCTGTGTAGCAGTAACTGTGAGTGCTGAGGAGGAAGGAAGAAGGCGGAGAGTTTCGCTGTGGTTTGCTGTTTCTGGCTGAGTGAACAGATGACACCAGACTCACTGAGCTGTGATAAAGTTGTCTGCTGTAAGGTTTGTGATTGATACTTACTCTATGAATTTTTTGCCAGATCTTCACACATACAAGCACACATACACTCAGATGAGATACTTAAGAGATAAGAAAAGACTGATGGAATTCAAGAAATTGAAAAAAAAACTGAGTAAATGTCGGACCAGTTTTAGAATTTCTGACCTGTTGGTGGTGCTAAATGTAAAGTCAGTGTATCACCAAAGTCAGTGCTGAGCATCACAGCCTTAGAAACAAGCAGGTGACTTAACATGTATGATAAAAGACTTGACAACATCCATCCATCCATTATCTATACAGCGCTTAATCCTCACTAGGGTCATGGGGGGCTGGAGTCTATCCCAGCTGACTCAGGGTGAAGGCAGGAGACACCCTGGACAGGTCACCAGTCTATCACAGGGCTACACTTAGAGACAGACAACCAAGCACACTCACATTCATTTTTTTAACTTTGTGTTTTTACGGCTCAAGATATCAACTGTTGGTTTTACTGGTCATTTAATGTTGTCTTGGCGAGGATTTGGACTAAAAACAACAACAAAAAGCAAAAAAAGAAAAACCTTAGTGGTTAAAGTATAGAGTTGATGAGACTATTGTTGTCACTTTCACCTTTGTCACCCCAACTGTTTATTCTAAGTGTAAGGAGCTTAGATGTACGTACAAACCATGGACATTTGTCATGTTTTAGGGCAGTCATGTCTCAGATTTTTTAAAAGTTGAAATTTCTAAATCTGACAAATGTTGTAAATTAAATATATTTTCTTTAAATTGTAAATAAATTTGTAAAAAAATATGTAAAGTATGTTTTCATCTGTTTTCATCTAGTAATTTTTAATTACTGAGTGCAGATTGATGGGAAAATGATCTGTTTTATTCATTTAAAATGAAATCTCTACACTGCAAGGAAATAAAGGCGTCTTCCGATGTGATTGTATATGTGGGTTATAAATGATGTCTTGTCCAGCATCTGTGTCCCATATTTTGTCACTCATGTTTAACCTCTATTAAAATGATTCCAACCGGATGTGTTTAACAAGTCCAGCTGCTGTGGTTTATTTTGAAAGAGTCAGAAGGAAGTCTGACTACTCGGCTGCATGTAGCTTGACAGCAGTGACAGCAGCGAGGGCTGAGCTGCGACCGAAAAGTCAAATATATCTCAGTGGCAGCGGTTTTTACTCAGAAAATGAGAGGGAAACTGCGTTGTTGTGTTTTCACAGCTGGCAAAATTCTAAAAAACTGGTCAGGTTGATGATTAAAATTACTCTGATATCCGATAATTAATCATAAGAATTATAGGTTAATTAATATGGAACGATGACGACAACGTTCTGAGGAAGGAAGCAGCAGAAGAAGAAGTGATGGAGGAACCGCTACGAAGTTAGACCAAAGTCAAAACCGTGGATGATTTTAAACGAGAGGACCAAGAAGATGATTTTAACGCCCTGTGGGATTTAACGACGTTTTTGTGTTCTACCATGCATAGGAGATGGATACGCCGGAGGTTGCCAGTCTTGGTTTTCACCTTCTTCATTATTCTCTACGTGGATTTTCAGTTACGCACCAGCAGCCTCCCCAAAGTCGCTCACCATCCGTCAACCCGTGCGCCCGAGCGCTTCATCCAGCTGCCTGCCGCCGGTGCCAAGGACGCACAGAACCCGGCTGGAAACAGCAGCAGCAGCAGCAGCACTGGTGGCAAAACGCGTTCCACCGACCTGACGGGAGGACACTCTGAGAGCGCACATGTAACTCAGCCGAAACTGGAGCTGGACGACATCTACATCGCTGTGAAAACCACCGGCAGGTTCCACAAGACGCGTCTTGCGCTTCTTTTGGAGACTTGGATCTCCAGAACCAAGGCGCATGTAAGTGTTTGTTCTCACACTAGAGCGTTCAGCTGCTGCTCTTATCCAAAGGCACCATCATGACGGTAGAATATTCCTGCCTGATCATCAGTGGCACACTATCAGACTATTTGATTTGGTCATGTGTTGCTCCATCAAATTAAATCCCTCTGGATAGAACAATGATCATATTAGAAAAGTTCTGAGAAATGAAAAGAGACTGACTTGTAAAGTTGCACATGGTCTTATGTCACAAACAAGAGTTTCTCTGTTTATGTGGAATCATGTCAAGATCAGTTTAGAGATAGAACAGACTGTGGATTTATGGCAGCTGGAGGTGAGGCTAGAACAAATGAACTCATTAAACACATCATGCCTTTGCTTCATAAAAAGCTCAAACATCTGACTCATCAGGCCTTGTGCTGTAGAACTAATGATGAAATGAAAACACTCACTTCCTTTCTGCTTTGAAGCTCTAAGTCTGCTGACCGACGCAGCTGATTAGCTCCTGAGTGTTCGCTTGGTCACTTTACTGCTGAAACAAAAGTTAAAATCACAGATATGAAAGCCTTCCTGGTTTTCAACATGCGGAGAGAAACATTTAAAAAAAATGGCTGTAATTGGATTTTGCAGTCTGTTCAACCAGCTGTCTCACCTACAACATTTAGAGATTGCTTTGCAAACTAAAAAAAGTGCATCTGACGTGACAATTTAACGGTTTAGTTTGGTTAAAGGGCAGCAGTGAGGATGTGAACGGGTGTTTTAGTGAGTGAGGCTCACTCAGAAACCTTGTTGGGTTACTGGTATTCAGTTTAAAAGGTTTTTACGACAGATTATTTAAGATTTTTAACACACAGTCATCCTCAAATGTATTCATACCCTTACATTAAAGAAAAGGCAAAATTCACAATAGTCACTGGAATAACTAGAAACTGAAAAAAGTAATAATAAATAAAAATTTGCTAAATTATAATTTAGTGAAATAAGACGCTGCTTTTGAATTGGGGTTGAAAAGAATAATTTTAAAAAAAAACTGTCCCAGACAAATCAGAGCACTTTGCTGATGAGCAGTGGACCAGAATACCTGTCAACAGGTGCAGAAGTCTGACTGAGAGTTACAGGAAACACCTGATGGCAGTGATTGGCTCAAAGGGTTGTTCAACTAAGTATTAGTTTACGGGTCCCATCATGCTTGTTTGCTTGTGTTTTTTAAAAAATGTATTTATTTGTTTGTATTTCTGTTGAACCTCAATTCAAAAGCAACGTCATGATGTTCATTTTTTTTTTTTTAATTATTATTACTTTTGTCTGTTCCATCTTATTTCAGTGACAGATGTTTATTTTCCTTCTTTAATGGGAGGCTATGAATACATTTGAGGACGACTGTACAAAAGCTGTGATATTGGTACAGAACTTCAGATTGAAGTGGCCCATTCTTTCTCCCCGGCTTTTCCTCCGTTTCAGGTACTTTTATTGCTTTATTGGAATGAAATAACAAATCAAATAAAATACCAGAGTCAGACAACGTTTTTCTGAGGCTGCTCTCCGTCACACATAAACACACTCTTGATGGCTTTCTGCTCGTCGTCCTCTCTGTGAGGCTTTGTCAGCTCCAGCTGTATCTATGAGTGGCATGTGAAAGCACTTGAGCAGGAACATCTGTTTATCTCATAGCTCAGCATCTCTAATCTGCACAGGGTCGATTTGTACAACCTGGCGCGAAATCAAACTTGAGTTAATCTCTGGAAACAATACGTGTAATTTTGAGTTGGCCCAGAGATTGCCATTGACTTACATGGTTGACTGATACACAGACACAGCGTGGGGCTTCTTCAGCGGAAGATTTAGCGAGAAAAGGCTTGTTTTTCAGATACATTTATTTAAATTCATACCACACATGCTTTGTAACGAACATATCTTTTAAATGCGCTCTCTAAATACTGCAGATTTCTGTTTTGTGCTTTTTTTTTCATGAAACAGATGAAACTGATGATGAAGCACTGCTCTCTACGCTTCTTGTTTTGTGTTTCACAGGGCAGACTTCCTACAGAGTGCAGATTTTAAAAAAAGAAATATGTATGAGTGAAAGATTAAGACATCTACTGAGAGTTTGTTCCTCTTTCTCACTGCAAATGCAAAATGCAAGATGTGTTTCTCTTTGGTTTAGTGTATTTCAGAGCGTGCACACACAAAAACCAGACGCACTAATACATACATTTAGTCACACAAAGATGCAAGCGTAGAACCTGTAATACAAAAACGCACACACACACACACACAGACACAGGAAGCTGTGCAGGCAGGTTGTCTCGGCTGAGGGGAAGCAGCCGCCGTGTAGTGACTCCGTTAACAATACTGAAACGGAAGCTGGTCATAGAACAGGAAGTAGAGAGGCCGATTGCAGAACAGAACGAACCTCATCTCACTTATGCACACACATACACACACACACACACACACACACACACACAGGGTGAAAAGTCATTTCTCAGCAGCTCGGCAGCTGCTGTCACTAAATATTGTCGCTAATCTGCTTAAAGCTGGAAACAGGAGTGTTGCAATAGAAACGGCTTCCTGACAACAACTTATTTGAGGCTCCGGGGCAGTAAAAGCACTGATAATCCCCAACATGGTCTGGACCTCTGAGTCCCTTCAGTCATTTTCAATCACATCCTGCAGCACCAACATCAAAAATAATCTTTGTGGTGGAGATATATTTAAGTGGACGGAGGAGAAGACTCTGGTTGATCTTTAGAGAAGAGCTACCAGAAGAACAACAGTCTACAGCCGTGCTACGAGGTACCTTCAATACATCCTCCACTTCACTGGGAAACATCACAGGAGGAAGATTGTTTTTGCATTATTTTCAACACAGTCACCTTCAACCTCAACACACTTGATCCACCGTTGTTTAAGCTTCACTGTCGCACCTGGAGCCTCCGGAGACTCCTCAACAGCATGGATGACTTCAGCATCTCCCAATCCCCCAACCCAATCCTGAAGAAACGCTCTCTCATGTTGCCTGTACTAATGTGTATGTACAGCAACATGACAATCAACCTGATTTCATCTGAAGTGAACAAATACATATTTTTACATTTTATAAACTAAAAAAATGACTTGATTTGATTACATTTCTTCATGATGTTGTACAGTGTAGTTCTTAAGTCAGTCTGGACCATACTGGTGAAGTAAAACAATCGTTCAGGGCTTTAATATAAACAAACAACAACTATGTAATAATTCTTATAATCTTAATGAATCGAAGTTCTTCTTCATTCAAGTCTTCATAATGTTGTAATCAAA